ATTGTGATTATTTTCTTACTGGTGAGAATGAGTATATTTGTGGTTTCTTAGATGTTTGCTTTCCCTATTGCAAATTGTCTGTGCTGATTCTGTGTTTTTGTTTGGTGGGGTGGAGTGTTTATATTTCTCTTGTTGATTATATTTTTTTCAAACATAAGAAGTGGACTTTCCCCATCAACTTTTTTGTTTGACCTTCAGTTGCTTTCTGTATCTGTAGATGTATCAGAGGGTAGTAGGAAAGTTAACATATTTTGTGGGCTCAAACCTATCATTTGGTCATATTATCCTCCCCCTTGTTGATTGTTTAAGTGTAGAAATTCTTCTGCATTATTTGGATTAATAAATCAATTTTATACATATTTCCAACCTGTCTTCACAGTTCTGTTATTACTTATTGTACCTTTTAGCCTTTTGTGAATAGATATTTCTCAAAATCACGTCACCCGCAGCTATCATTTATAAGGTATTCTTTAGTTTTTGACTAACATTCGTCTTCTATTCCTAAGTAAATATGAATTAATACATCTCTGTATAAAATGAAAGCATCACTTTAGATAATGCTTCCTACCTACTTTTCTGTTATATTCTTTTATTACCAAATTTTACATTTTTAAAAACTAATCTGAATACCCAGCATAGGGTTCAAATTCTCACGTCCAGAAACAGGAGCCAACAGTCTACTGACTGAGCCAGCCAGGCCCTCCTGTTTCCAAGTATTTGCACTTTAATTTTGAATTAGTGATCCATGTGATGTTATTACATTAGTAATATTTTATGCCTTTCTACAAAGTCGGTTTGAGATGGTCTGTGTTTCGGTCTATTTTTGAGACAGTTCCATGCCTAAGCTAGTCTCACTCCTACTGCTCTCCTTTGTTCCATAAGCTCTGAGCTTCTTTGAAAACTTAACATTTCTAGGGGTACCTGAGTGGCTCAGTTGGTTTAGTGTCTGATTCTTGATCTCAGTTCAGGTCATGATCTCAGGGTCATGAGATGGAGCTCTGAGTCGGGCTCTGGGCTGATTGTGAGGCCTGGTTGAGTTTCTCCCTCTGCCTCTCCCTCTGACCCTCCCCCACCTAGCTTCTGTGCTCTCTCTTTATCTAAAAAAAATTGTATATTTCTATATTATGCACACAAAAAATTCATATACTTAAAAAAAGATTTTATTAATTTTTTGATAGAGAGAGAGCCAGATAGCATGAGCAGAGTGGAGGGGTAGAGGCGAGGGAGAAGTAGGCACTCCATTGTGTAGGGAGCCTGATGCTGGGCTGAATCCCAGGATCTGGAGCCCTGGATCATAACCTGAGTCAAAGGGAGACGCTTAACCAACTGAGCCATGAGGGCACCCCTATTCATACACTTTTATACAAATTCATGAATAGAATCTCGTGCACATTGTAAATAGTCTTTAACTCTGGTGCAGTCTATTTTTATAGTTTATCTCTTGCCTCCACCAACTAGTATAGTGCTAATTCATTATTTCAGTGATTATGTAAAGTATTTCAGGGTGTGCTGTGTCATTTACATTGTTGAGGAATTTTCATATTCTTTCTCATTAAATTGCTATTTTATCAATTACCAAAAATATTTTGAGATTGAGTTAAAATGCTGGTTTTCCAGGAGAGGCAATTTTATCCTCCTGAGATCTTGAGCAATGTCCAAATGTATTTTAGGTTGTCAGATAAGAGAGCTCTCAATAGAGGCCGGGGATGCTCTAAATACCCTACAAAGCCCAGGACAAACTCTACCATAGAAACTGATCTGGGCCAGAATGTCAGTAGTGCTGAGATTGAGAAACCCTGAGATAAAGAAGACATATCTATATTTTTAATACTTATAGCTTTTTTAAAGATTATTTCCCCCAAATGTTATAGCACGTCACATTTTTGCTATGAAAATTAGAGTAGCACTCTGCTACCTGGTTAAAGTTCCAATTCCAATCGACGTGACAATTCTTTTTTTTTAAAATAAATTTATTTTTTATTCGTGTTCAATTTGCCAACATACAGAATAACACCCAGTGCTCATCCCATCAAGTGCCCACCTCAGTGCCCTCCACCCAGTTGTCCCCACTCCCCACCCACCTCCACCCCTAGTTCGTTTCCCAGAGTTAGGAGTCCTTCATGTTCTGTCTCCCTTTCTGATATTTCCCACTCATTTTTTTTCTCCTTTCCCCTTTATTCCCTTTCACTATTTTTTATATTCCCCAAATGAATGAGACCATATAATGTTTGTCCTTCTCCGATTGACTTATTTCACTCAGCATAATAGCCTCGATGTGACAATTCTTGAAGTTTTTTGACAGACTAATAGGTGTAGAAGGGAGTTCTTGTTTTCATAAACAATTAGTAGTCTGAGCAAAATTCATTATGTGGTCACCATTATGATTTGCCCATTACTATATGCTCATATATTCTGTTCTTGTTTTCTACAGGTGTCAGCATTTCAAATGATTTTTATAGATTCTTGTTTCTTTATCGAATTCTATGGAGACAATGACCAAAAGGAATGTTTTAAATTCTATTATTTAAAGTGTAACTTCTTCCTTCTCAGTTTCTTAATTAAATGGTTTTGCCTGTAGATTTTATTTTTTTTTATTTTTGTGGATTTTTTTGTAATTTAAGGACTTTTGGCAGATATTTTGTATATTTTAAAATTTATTTTTAATTACTGTGTAATTGAAATGCAGTGTTCTATTAGTTTCAGGGGTACAATATAGTGATTCAACAATTGTATACATTACTCAGTGCTCATCATGATAAGTGTACTTTTCATCCCCTTCACCTCAATCACCCATCTCTTCATCTACCTCCCCTCTTACAACCAGTGGTTTGTTCTCTATATTGAAGTTATGGTTTTTCCTTTTTCTCTCTTTTCCTTGTTCATTTGTTTCTTAAATTCCATATATGAGTAAAATCATATGATATTTATCTTTCTTTGATTTCACTTAGCATTATATTCTCTAGATTCATCCATGTTGTTGCAAATGGTAGGGTCTTATTTGTACCTGTTTATATCCTGTATCTACTCCCTCTCCTCCTACCCTCTGGCAACAACCAGTTTTTTCTGTCTGTTTGTTTGCTTGTTCATTAATCTGTGTTTTCAATGAGACAACTGACTCCATGTCTTGGCTATTGCAAACAATGCTGCAAAACGTGGGGTGCCTATATATTTCCAGTTAGTGTTTTTGTCTTCTTTGGTTAAATACCCAGTAGTGGAATTAATTGATCCTGTGGTATTTCTATTTTTAATTTTTTGAGGAACCTCCATACAGTCTCCACAGTAGCTGCACCAGTTTGCATTCCCACCAACAGTGCACAAGAGTACTCTCTTTTCCACATTCTCACCAACACTTGTCATTCATTTCTTGTCTTTTTATACTAACCATTCTTTTGATTTATTTATTTATAAATTTATTTATTTTTAAATAAATTTATTTTTTATTGGTGTTCAATTTGTCAACATACAGAGTAACACCCAGTGCTCATCCCGTCAAGTGCCTACCTCAGTGCCCGCCACCCAGTCACTCCCAACCCCCGCCCACCTCCCCTTCCACACCCCTAGTTCGTTTCCCAGAGTTAGGAGTCTTTATGTTCTGTCTCCCATTCTGATATTTCCCACTCATTTTTTTTCTCCTTTCCCCTTTATTCCTTTTCACTATTTTTTATATTCCCCAAATGAATGAGACCATATAATGTTTGTCCTTCTCCAATTGACTTATTTCACTCAGCATAATAGTTCCATCCACGTTGAAGCAAATGGTGGTTATTTGTCGTTTCTAATGGCTGAGTAATATTCATTGTATACATAGACCACATCTTCTTTATCCATTCATCTTTCAATGGACACCGAGGCTCCTTCCACAGTTTGGCTATTGTGGACATTGCTGCTATAGACATCAGGGTGCAGGTGTCCCGGCGTTTCAATGCATCTGAATCTTTGGGGTAAATCCCCAGCAGTGCAATTGCTGGGTCATAGGGCAGATCTATTTTTAACTCTTTGAGGAACCTCCACACAGTTTTCCAGAGTGGCTGCACCAGTTCACATTCCCACCAACAGTGTAGGAGGGTTCCCCTTTCTCCGCATCCTCTCCAACATTTGTAGTTTCCTGTCTTGTTACTTTTCCCCATTCTCACTGGTGTTAGGTGGTATCTCATTGTGGTTTTGATTTTATACTAACCATTCTAATTAGTGTGAGGTGATAGTCCTATTTTTTGGAAGTCACATAAATGGAATTATTTTATTTCCTATTTTATTTCCTTCTCAGATTGTTCATTCTTTGTATGTAGAAATGCAACTGGTTGTTTGAGGGTTGGCTCTATATGCAGTTACTTGGCTGAATTGATTTATTAGTTCTGTCAGTGTTTTTGTTGGATTTTTAGGATTTTCTACACATAAGATCACACTGCATGCATAGTTGATTTTTCCTTTCCAGTTTGGTTGACTTTTATTTCATTTTCTTTCTTTAATTGCCTGGCTAGAACCACCAGTGTTATGTTGAGTAGAAGTTTGTGAAATCAGATGTGGTGTTCCTTTTTTTTAATTTTATTTATTTATTTTTTTATTTATTTATGATAGTCACAGAGAGAAAGAGAGAGAGAGAGAGAGAGAGAGAGAGAGAGGCAGAGACACAAGCAGAGGGAGAAGCAGGCTCCATGCACCGGGAGCCCGACGTGGGATTCGATCCCGGGTCTCCAGGATCGCGCCCTGGGCCAAAGGCAGGCGCTAAACCACTGCACCACCCAGGGATCCCAGATGTGGTGTTCCTAATCATACGGGAAAAATGCTCATTGAGTGTCATGCTTGCTATGAGCTTTTCATGAACAGCTTTATGTTGAGATAGTTTCCTTCTATTCCTAGTTCTTAGTGTTTTATCATGTTCTATACACAAATATAAAGATTAATTTCTTGATGCAGAATATAAACAATAATGTATCTCTCAATTAGTAATGAATGATTGTGTCATGTTGTTTTTCTCTTATTTTGGTAGTCCTGTCTACTACATGGAACTAGAGAATGATACACAAATTTCAGAATTTCTTCTTCTGGGATTTTCAGAGGAACCAGAATTGCAGCCCTTACTCTTTGGACTGTTCCTGTTCATGTACTTGGTCACCATACTTGGGAACCTGCTCATCATTCTGGCTGTCAGCTATGACACCCACCTCCACACCCCCATGTACTTCTTCCTTGCCAACCTGTCCTTTGTAGACATCTGTTTCACCTCCACTACAGTCCCCAAGATGCTGGTAAATATACAAACACAGAGAAAAGTCATAATTTATGAAAGCTGCATCATGCAGATGTACTTTTTCTTACTTTTTGCTGGTTTGGACAACTTTCTTCTGAGTGTTATGGCCTATGACCGATTTGTGGCCATCTGTCATCCCCTGCACTACATGGTCACCATGAACCCCCAGCTCTGTGGACTGCTGGTTCTGGTGTCCTGGTTCATGAGTGCCCTGCATTCTTTGTTACAAACATTAATGGTGTTGCGGTTGTCCTTCCATACAGAGGTGGAAATCCCCCACTTTTTCTGTGAACTCAATCAGATGATCCAACTTGCCTGTTCTGACACCTTTCTTAATAACATGGTGTTGTACTTTGCAGCTATGCTGCTGGCTGGTATCCCCATGGCTGGGGTCCTCTACTCTTATTGTAAGATAGTTTCCTCTATACGTAGAATCTCATCAGCTCAGGGCAAGCATAAAGCATTTTCCACCTGTGCATCACATCTTTCAGTTGTCTCTTTATTTTATTGTACGAGCTTAGGTGTGTACCTTAGCTCTGCAGCTACCCAGAGCTCCCACTCAAGTGCAGTAGCCTCAGTGATGTACACGGTGGTCACACCCATGCTGAATCCCTTTATTTACAGCCTGAGGAACAAAGATATAAAGGAGGTGCTAAGTGTGTTTTTCAGAGGGAAGACATAAAAAGGCTATTTTTCTTTCTTTCTTTCTTTTTAAAATTTTTATTTATTTATGATAGTCACAAACAGAGAGAGAGAGAGAGAGAGAGGCAGAGACACAGGCAGAGGGAGAAGCAGGCTCCATGCACTGGGAGGCCCACGTGGGATTCGATCCCAGGTCTCCAGGATCGCGCCCTGGGCCAAAGGCAGGCGCCAAACCGCTGCGCCACCCAGGGATCCCAAAAGGCTATTTTTCAACAAGTATCTGTGATTGCAGGCTTAATGCCTGATAGCCAGAAATTGTGATTCTTTATCAAATCATGAAAGAAGAACTTAATCCCTCTATTTTTTCCTGGAGTTTCAATTTTTCTAAATTTCAACTGCATTATCAAATTATTTTTTTAAGATTTTAATTTATTTATTCATGAGAGACACACAGAGAGAGGCAGAGAGAGAAGCAGGCTCCATACAGGAAGCCTGTTGTGGGACTTGATCCCAGAACTCCGGGATCATGCCCTGAGCCAAAGGTAGATGCTCAACCGCTAAGCCACGCAGGCATCCCCTGCGCTATCAAATTTAACTAAGTCCCTTTGTTGTTCTTTCTGGTCCTTTTGATAGCCAACGATTTTCCTTTTTTTTTTTTTCTACCAAAGTGAGTCCCAACCTTCAGTAAGAAACAATTTTGAGATTCCCATTTGCCTTATATAGTGATGAATTGTCCTAATTTTATGAAATAAACTACACTGGTAACTGAGGCCATTTTTATAATTTTATTGTAGAGGAAATCTGAGATCACAGCTTTCACTCTGTGTCTCTCATTCCTTTCTACATTACTACCTTAAATGCTCTTCTTGACAATATACACTTTAATCTACTAGTTTGTTTTTAGCTAGTCATGGGGCTTTATGATACTCATTAAGATCATATTCCTTCATTAGCTCAGTATGAAGCTATCCCTGGCACAGAATAGTAAGGCCAAAATTGCTTACGAAAAACACCCTCCAAGTATAATCTACTAAAAAGACAAATCTGCATAAACCAATTGGTTAAACAAGGGCTTGGCATGGATGACATGAAATAGGATGAAATAAAATTTTCTATCATACCATATTTTATTGTGGAAAATGTGTTTTGATGATGAACATCCACTCCTTAAAGTGTGGGATATTTGGTGTTCATGTTAAAGAGTTTTATTAATTGGGGCAGCCCCAGTGGCCCAGTGGTTTAGCACTGCCTTTGGCCTGGGACATGATCCTGAAGACCTCGGATCGAGTCCCACGTTGAGCTCACTGCATGGAGCCTGCTTCTCCCTCTGCCTGTGTCTCTGCCTCTCTCTCTCTCTCTGTGTGTCTGTCATGAATAAATAAATAAAATCTTTAAAAAAAGAGTTTTATTAATTGAAGAATTTTGTGGTAGGTTTTGTATTATTTAATTGGATGATTTTGCTGTTTCTCTTTGAAAATTTCTAATATTACTCCTTCCATTGCTCTAAACTTAATATCTCCCCCTTTAAAAATATTGCCATAAATGTTACAGTGTGAGTGAACCATTTGTGTATTCACTCTGTCATTAATATGTTTCATTCTTTATGCCCTAAACTCTCTTTTACCCTGTGAGTGCAAGCTAACTCAGACAAGACTGGAATTCCAGCCCAGTAATGCTCTGAGACTGGAAACATGTGACTGAGGTTCCCACAAGTTATTTCTGCAAAAGCACACAGGCCTTTCCAACCTGTACCAGTTACCTGGAAGGGAATCTCAAAGGTAGTCACTTTTTAGTACAGTTACCTGAAATAAATGTGAATAACCAGGCCATTAGGAATACTGCTTTCAAATATCAGAACAAATATCAAAAATAAGAAGCAGTAGATTATTCTTAATATTCTCAGTTGGGTTTACATTGATTATTGTATCAGCTGTTGCTGCTGAAGAAGCTATGCCAGAGGTAAAAGATATAAGATTATGATTCTTTTAAAATTGCATGGTGGCCTATGTTGGGAAAATATTCTAGTCTCTGCGGGGCTTCTCATGAGGCTATGGTCAGCTGTGGGTCAGCTGGAAGTACTCTGTTAATCCTGGCTGTGTTCTCACATTTGGAGGCTTGCTGGTGGTAGGCTGGTCTAAGTTGGTCCATGTTAGAGCAACTGAGCTCTGCTTCACTTGTTTTCTCCTCCTACAGTAAGCTAGCCTGGATTTGTATATATGGCAGAGGCCAGGTTACAAGACAGCAGAAGAAACACACCAAAGTCCCTTGAAGCACACTGTCATTTTCATTGTACACTTTTAGCAAAGGCAAATAAACCACTAATTTCAGGTCAGATTCAAAGTGGGAGAATAATCTCCATCTCTCAATGGGAGGAGCTTCACAGTCACATTGCAAAGTACATGAATACAGAGAGAAGTGAATTGGGGACATCTCTGCAAAAGGTCTACCACAAGTGTAATGTTCAATTCAATCAAGTTTTATTGGTGCAGGACTCAAAATCAACAACAATACAGTACAGTACAAAGTAGTGATTCAATAATTCTACACATGACTCAGTGCTCATCCTGGTGAGTGTGTTCTTAAGGGTTGAGTCTGCAGGATTTTCTATATTTAGTTCATCTCATCCATAAATAAATAATTTTACTTCTTTCTTTCTATTTAGGTGGATTTTATTCTTTATCTTGCCTGATTGCTCCAGCTAGTACGTGCAGTATTATTTCGAATAGGAGTGGTGGGAGTAGACACCCTTGTCTTGCTCCTGATGGCAAAGGAAAAGTTTTCTAACCTTTCTAACCTTTCTATTGTGAGTTTGACATGTATAGTACTCTTTTAAGTTGAGGTATATTCCTTTTACAATCAGTTTGTTGAAGGTTTGTTGTTGTTGTTTGTTTATCATGAAAGTATATTGTGTTTTGTCAAAAGTTTTTTCTGTATCTATTGAGATGATCATAATATTGTTATATTTTGTTCTCTTAATGGGTTGTATCACATTTATTGGTTTGTTTATGCTGAACCATCCTCAGATCTCAGGGATACATTGCACCTGATCATGGCATATAAGCCCTTCAGTGTGCTGTGTCATTCAGCTAGCTAATAGCTTTTTGAAAAACATTGTGTCTATGTTCATCAGGGATATTGGATATTTGTACTGACCCTTTCTGACTGTGCTATTGGTAATGCTGGTCTTGTAAAATGAGGCTGAAAATATGGCTCCCTCTGTATATTTCTGGAAGAGTTTGAGAAGGATTTTTATTAATTCTTCTTAAAAGTTTAGTAGAGTTCACCTGGGAAGTTCTCTGGTCCTGGGGTTTACTTTGATGGGAGACTTTTTATTGCTGTCTTAATGGTCTTAGACATCATTGGTTTGTTCATATTTATGTTTCTTCTTGATTTAGGCCTGGTGGTTTATAAGTTTATAAGGATTTATCCATGTCCAATTTGTTGGAGGGAAATTGTTCATAGTGCTCTCCTAGGATTCTTGTCTTTCTATGATATTTTTATAAGGTAATATGTTTCCTGCATTTTAATTTTTTATTTTAACAATTTTTGAAAAAGTTATTTATTTATTTATGTATTTAAATATTTAGGAGAGAGAGAGAGAGAATGAGTGAGAGGCAGAGAGAGAGAAGGGGGAAGGTGCTGAAGGAGAAAGACAAGTTGACTCTGCAGTGAGCATGGAGCCTAAATAGGGCCCTGAGATCATGACCTGAGCTGAAACCAAGAGTCAGATGCTTTTCCAACTAAGCCACCCAGGTGTCCTGCTACTGATTTCATTTATTTGGATCTTCTCCCCCACCCCTTTTCTTTGGTTTACTCAAGGTTTGTCAATTTTGCTTAGCTTTTCAGAAAATTGGCTCCTAGCTTTGTTAATCTTTTCTATTGTTTTTCTGGTTCATATATCATTTATGTTTGCTCTGATATTTATTTCTTTTCCTCTCCTGCTTTGGCCTCAGTTTATTCTTCTCTTTGTAGTTCTTTAAATAATAAAGTGAGGTTATTTACTTAACCTCATTTGTTTTTCTTAATGTAGGCATTTATTACTATAAACTTGCCTCTTAGAGCTGCTTTTGCAACATCCCATAAGTTTTGATAGGCCGTATTTCCATCTTCATTTAACTGAAGACTCAAATTTTCTTTTTGGTTTCTTCTTTCACCCACTGGCTGTTCATGATTGGGTGGTTTAATTCCAAGGTAATTGTGAATATCTCAGGTATGTGTACTCTTACATTCATTGCAGCATTATTTACAATAGCCAAGACAAGGAAACATTGTCAGATGAATTAATAATAATGGCATATTCATAGAGTGGAATTCAACAAATAAAAAAGGAATACATCTTTTCTTTTCCTTTCTAAAACATGAATGGACTCCAAGGGCATTATACCAAGTGAATTAATCAGAGAAAGAAAGACAAATCATGTATGGTTTAACTTATACGTAAATACAAGAACCTGAACTCACAGAAATAGAGGGTAGGTTGATGTTTGCCTGTGGCTTGGGTTTGGGGAAATGAAAAGATGCTGGTGAAATCCTACAAACCTTCAGTAATAAGATGAATGTGTATTGGGAACATCATTATAACATGGTCATTTTGATAAGTCAAATATATTGTGTTGTATACTTGCATGTTGCTAACAGAGTACAGAGTAAATGTTCTTACACAAAAAAGAAATGGTAACTATGTGAAGTAATGGATGTATTCACTAACCTATTGTGGTGATCACTTCGGAAGTATATGTATATGAAATCATTGGTTATAATTTTATATGTTGATTTCATTTCAATAAAACTGGAAAGAAGAAGAAAAAATATTCCTATGTCTCTGTCTTCTATTTGAATTTCAAATTTCCCCATTAAAAAACAAACAAACCCACAGTACCAGGATGAAAACCTTTATGTATATGTCACTGCGAAGATCAATCAACAGGAAAGAGTATCTACATAAGAATATCATGTAGGTAGCATCAGTGATACAACAGTTTTTTTATTTATTTATTTATTTATTTATTTATTTATTTATTTATTTATTTATTTATTTATTTCAATAGTTCTTAGCTCCATCAACCAGTAAGTTAGATATGAGGTCCCTGGTCTCTATGAGGAGTCTGGAAAGAAAATCTTTTCTTAGACTAGGAATGGTATTCTACAGACAAGATAAGGAGACTATATTTACATGTGGAGGAAAGCCTGTCCCTGTGGAGTAGAATTTCCATAACATCCCTATGACATAAACTCAGTCACTGTGTTCCACTGCTGAAAGTAGAAGTAAAAAAAAACTTTTTTAAAAAAAGATTTTATTTATTTATTTATTTATGTATGTATTTTTTCTTCTGAATTAAAAAAATTTTTTATCAGAGTTCAATTGCCAACATATAGCATATCACCCAGTGCTCATCCTGCCAAGTGCCCCCTTCAGTGCCCATCACCCAGTCACCTCAGGCCCCCACCGACCTCCCCTTCCACTACCCATTGTTCATTTCCCAGAGTTAGGTGTCTCTCATGTTTTGTCACCCTCACTGATATTTTCACTCATTTCCTCTCCTTTCCCTTTATTCCCCTTCACTAATTTTTATATTCCCCAAATGAATGAGAACATATAATGTTTGTGCTTTTCTGATTGACTTATTTCACTCAGCATAATACCCTCTAGGTCCCTCCATGTTGAAGCAAATGGTGGGTATTTGTAGTTTCTAATGGCTGAGTAATATTCCATTGTATACATAGACCACATCTTCTTTATCCATTCATCTTTCGATGGACACCGAGGCTCCTTCCACAGTTTGGCTATTGTGGACATTGTTGCTAGAAACATCGGGGTGCAGGTGTCCTGGCGTTTCACTGCATCTGAATCTTTGGGGTAAATCCCCAGCAGGGCAACTGCTGGGTCATAGGGCAGATCTATTTTTAACTCTTTGAGGAATCTCCACACAGTTTTCCAGAGTGGCTGCACCAGTTCATATTCCCACCAACAGTGCAGGAGGGTACCTGTTTCTCGACATCCTCTCCAATGTTTGTGATTTTCTGCCTTGTTAAATTTCCCCATTCTCACTGGTGTGAGGTGGTATCTCATTGTCTATGTCTTCCTCTGTGACATGTCTTCCTCTGTTCATGTCTTTTGTGATAGGGATTGATTTAAAAGTGTAAATTGCCTTGGGTAACATTAACATTTTCACAATGTTAATTCTCCCATTCCATGAGCATGGAATGTTTTTCCATCTCTTTGTATCTTTATCAATTACTTTCAGAAGTGTTCTGTAGTTTTTAGGGTATAGATCCTTTACCTCTTTGGTTAGGTTTATTCCTAGGTATCTTATGCTTTTCTGTGCAATTGTAAATGGGATTGACTCCTTAATTTCTCTTTCTTCAGTCTCATTGTTAGTGGATAGAAATGCCACTGACTTCTGGGCATTGATTTTGTACCCTGCCACACTGCCAAATTGCTCTATGAGTTCTAGCAATCTTGGGGTGGAGTCTTTTGGGTTTTCTATGTGCAGTATGTCATCTGTGAAGAGGGAGAGTTTGACTTCTTCTTTGCCAATTTGAATGCCTTTTATTTCTTTTTTTTCCCCCTGATTGCTGAGGCTAAGACTTCTAGTACTATGTTGAATAGCGGTGGTGAGAGTGGACATCCATGTCTTGTTCCCGATCTTAGGGGAAAGGTTCCCAGTGCTTCCCCACTGAGAATGATATTTGCTGTGGGTATTTTTTAGATGGCTTTGAAGATTCTGAGGAATGTTCCCTTTATCCCTACACTCTCAAGAGTTTTGACCAGGAATGGATGCTGTATTTTGTCAAGTGCTTTCTCTGCATCTATTGAGAGGCTCATATGGTTCTTGTTTTTTCTCTTGCTGATATGATCTATCACATTGATTGCTTTACGAGTGTTGAACTATCCCTTGCATCCTGGGGATAAATCCCACTTGGTCATGGTGAATAATCTTCTTAATGTATTGTCGGATCCTATTGGCTAGTATCTTGTTGAGAATTTTTGCATCCATGTTCATCAGGGATATTGGTCTATAATTCTCCTTTTTGGTGGGGTCTTTGGTTTTGGAATTAAGGTGATGCTGGCCTCATAGAATGAGTTTGGAAGTATTCCTTCTCTTTCTATCTTTCCGAACAGCTTTAGTAGAATAGGTATGGTTTCTTCTTTAAATGTTTGATAGAATTCCCCTGGCAAAAGACATGAAGAGAAATCTCACAGAGGAAGACATAGACATGGCCAACATGCACATGAGAAAATGCTCCACATCACTTGCCATCGGGGAAATACAAATCAAAACCACAATGAGATACCACCTCACACCAGTGAGAATGGGGAAAATTAACAAGCCACAAATGTTGGAGAGGATGTGGAGAAAAGGGAACCCCTTTACACTGTTGGTGGGAATGTGAACTGGTGCAGCCACTCTGGAAAACTGTGTGGAGGTTCCTCAGAGAGTTAAAAATAGACCTGCCCTATCACCCAGCAATTGCACTGTTGGGGATTTACCCCAAAGATTCAGATGCAATGAAACGCCGGGACACCTGCACCCCGATGTTTCTAGCAGCCATGTCCACAATAGCCAAACTGTGGAAGGAGCCTCAGTGTCCATCGAAAGATGAATGGATAAAGAAGATGTGGTTTATGTATACAATGGAATATTACTCAGCCATTAGAAATGACAAATACCTACTATTTGTTTTGATATGGATGGAACTGGAGGTTTGTATTATGCTGAGTGAAATAAGTCAATCAGAGAAGGACAAACAGTGTATGTTCTCATTCATTTGGGGAATATAAATAATAGTGAAAGGGAATATAAGGGAAGGGAGAAGAAATGTGTGGGAAATATCAGAAAGAGAGACAGAACATAAAGACTCCTAACTCTGGGAAACGAACTAGGGGTGGTGGAAGGGGAGGAGGGCGGGGGGTGGGGGTGAAAGGGTGATGGGCACTGAGGGGGGCACTTGACAGGATGAGCACTGGGTGTTATTCTGTATGTTGGTAAATTGAACCCCAATAAAAATAAATTTATTATTAAAAAATTAATATTTGAAAAAAATAAAAAAGGAATTCCCCTGGGAAGCCATCTGGCCCTGGACTTTTGTGTCTTGGGAGGTTTTTGATGACTGCTTCAATTTCCCCCCTGGTATTGGCCTGTTCAGGTTTTCTATTTCTTCCTGTTCCAGTTTTGGTAGTTTGTGGCTTTCCAGAAATACGTCCATTTCTTCTAGATTGCCTAATTTATTGGCGTATAGCTGCTCATAGTAGTTTTTAAAATCGTTTGTCTTTCATTGGTATTGGTGGTGATCTCTCTCATTCATGATTTTATTAATTTGAGTCTTTTCTCTCTCTATTTATTAAGGCTGGCTATTGGTTTATCTATCTTATTAATTCTTTCAAAGAACCAACTCAGCCAAGGAATTCTTTGTGTCAAAATTCAACACTCTATTTTTTTTTTAATTTTTATTTATTTATGATAGCCACAGAGAGAGAGAGGCAGAGACACAGGCAGAGGGAGAAGCAGGCTCCATGCACCGGGAGCCCGACGTGGGATCCGATCCCGGGTCTCCAGGATCGCGCCCTGGGCCAAAGGCAGGCGCCAAACCGCTGCGCCACCCAGGGACCCCAACACTCTATTTTTTTTAAAGATTTTATTTATTTATGAGAGAGAGAGAGAGAGAGAGAGAGAGAGAGAGAGGCAGAGTGAGAAGGGGTGTTGATCCCGGGTCTCCAGGACCACGTCCTGGGCTAAAGGTGGTGCTAAACTGCTGAGCCACTCCGACTGCCCTCAACACTCTGTTTTTATGTTCATTAAAGTGTTTATTCATTTGTGTCCCCTCCAACTTTCAGGTTTCTTTGCAACACAATAGACAGGATTTAAATAAGTCTCTGTGTGTCTACATAAATGTGTGTGAATGTGTTTATTTGAGAAAAAGATGTATACAAAAGTACTCACACATATATATACTCACACTCCTAACCTTGAACATTTCCTTTGAACTCAACAAAGTGCTTCTACATGTTTCATTTATTACTCACAACGTCTTTCTGGAGTTAGGGTTCATTCCCCCACATCACCTTCAGAAATAAGGAAATTGAGGCTCAGGGTGATCACATTTTAACAATAATATAACAGTTAAAACTTACTGCAACCTTTTTTTGAACTCTACACAAATGGAGCCATGTAGTATGTTTATTATTTTTTTTAACATTTCACCTTTTAAGGCAAGTTTGTGAAAATAATTTAATACAACCAGATCCCTTTACGAACTTTCAGCTTAAAACATTTTTTTTTACATAAGAACCATACACAAAATACGTTATACAAAAAGGTGTCTTAATTCCAGAAAAAAAGAGGAATGAAGGATTTTGACACCAGTTTACTGTTTAAAGGATGCTCTTCACCTGTGTTCAGTTCCAAGCACTAGTCATCACCCTTATATCCAGTTTAAATAAAAAATTTTTTTTGGAGTTCAATTTGCCAACCTATAAACATAACACCCAGTGTTCATCCCGCCAAGTGCTCCCCTCATTGCCCATCACCCAGTCACCCCAAACCCCCGCCCACTCCCCGTTCCATTACCCCTTGTTCATTTCTCAGAGTTAGGTGTCTCTTTAGAGCCAGTTTTGCTTAAATGATTCACCACGTCAACCCAGTCCCATCTCTGGGCAAGTTCTCTTTTGTGATCTATCTGCTTTATCTGCCAGCTTATGCTTCTCCCTCTGCCTGTGTCTCTGCCTCTCTCTCTCTCTGTGTGTGTGACTATCATAAATAAATAAAAATTTAAAAAAAGCATAAAATGGGAGCCCTGGGTGGCGCAGCGGTTTGGCGCCTGCCTTTGGCCCAGGGCGCGATCCTGGAGACACGGGATCGAATCCCATGTCGGGCTCCCGGTGCATGGAGCCTGCTTCTCCCTCTGCCTGTGTCTCTGCCTCTCTCTCTCTCTCTGTGTGACTATCATAAATAAATAAAAATCAAAAAAATAAGCATATTTGCCAGCTTACATTTCTGGGCTTTTGAAAGTTTTGTCTTTGTCCATGTTCTTACTTGATGGGGCTGTATTAGGAGTTTCAGTGGAGATGATACTGGTTATGAGTGTGGTAGAATTAATGGGATGGTGATTCTCCATGAACTGCTCTTTAGTGTCCTTGGCATATTCAAATAATGTGTAGGTCACAGCATCTCAAGATTAACCCCCCCTGCTTCCTGTGACTTGGCTGATATGCTCTGCTTTACAGCTGATGATGTGGATGTTGCTAAAAAAAAGTGTTTACAGATATAATTGGAGATGCTTGAGACTATGCTTCTGTCCAGGAAATCTCTATTAAGAAGACTGTGGGATCACCATTTTCATCTCTCCTGTATTGAAATGCAACTGTACTTAATTCTCAGAATCTTTCATCTCCTGCATAAACAGAAGGTCATGCTTATAGTTCCATCTCTTGGTCTTCCTTGGCACTCACCATGTGGGTTATGAGATGCCTCCCAGGTGGCAAGGATGAAGTGAGAACAGTGGCCTTGAGGCTGAGTGTCCTCCTTCTGTGCTCTATGTTGTGGGAGGTGTACCCCTCACAGTGCAGACAAGAGTCCTGTGTGCCCCCACCATATTATTTTTTGTATCCTTCCCATAATTCAGCAAACTGTATATTTTATTTTTTTAAAAGATTTATTTATTTTAGAGGGAGGGTGAGAGAGAGAAATCCTCCAAGCAGATTTCCTGTTCAGTGTAAGCCCTACAGGAAGCTCTGTCCCAAGACCCTGAGGTCATGAGCTGAGATGAAATCAAAAGTTGAATGCCTAACTCTGGGAAACGAACTAGGGGTGGTGGAAGGGGAGGAGGGCGGGGGGTGGGAGTGAATGGGTGATGGGCACTGAGGGGGGCCCTTGACGAGATGAGCACTGGGTGTTATTCTGTACGTTGGTAAATTGAACACCAATAAAAAATAAATTTATTATAAAACAAAACAAAACAAAAGTTGAATGCTCAACTGACTGAGCCAGGAGTATTGTATACTTTAAAGGTGTGCAGCTTATTTGTATGCAATTATACTCCAATGAATCATATTTGTAAGGAGACATGGAAATTTCTAGGCAGAAGCAGGAAGAGGAAACAGAAAACATAATTATGCAAACACTTCTTCACCCTAATGGTAGACTCTCACACATGGATGCCAGTTTTACATTATCAATAAAGAGATGTGCAGGATGAAAACATTAGTTTTCACATTAATAAATGTCTGACTTAAATTTTGCTTCATCTCTGACTCTACGGCCATATTATGCCAAATTATTTAGTGAAATTTGTCTTTCTGTGTAGAAAACAACTGGAGACATGTATTTGATTATCAGTTTTGCCAGTGACCATGGTAGGCAATGTGGTCACTGAGCCGAATAACAGAACAGGATCCTAATAAGGAAAAAAAACCCCAATGACTTGTTACAAAACACACTATATGTTAAAGTCTACATTTTCAGGGAAGAACAGATATTTAAAGGAATAATGGACACAAAAATGTTTACCTGAGGTGTCAGACTTTCCTTTCTTATGAAATTATAAGTGGATTTGCATGCCAAATGTGGATTTTTTTTCATAAAAGTAGTTTTACTCATGATTATTTTTTTTGAAAACAAAAGAAAGCTTCCTTGGTATGATGTATTTCATTTCAGAAGAAATTATTCTTAAAAAAATCTGTAGAATCTCTTGGATAAATGGGAATTTCAAATATTTTGTCCAAAATTGGGAAACAAATTGGGAGTGTAGGAAAACAACTAAGGAAAACACTGTGAGATACCAGAGAGCAGAAAGGTTAATACAGTCAGTTACTTAAGTTGTACAGAGAAATTGATATCCCTGAAAGGGACATTCCGGGAAATCAAGAAAGGAATAAATTCTACTTCCATAATCTGATCAAAGAATTACCATGACTGGCTTTCAGGGTTTGAGTCCCTGCTATTATGTGTATTTCTTCAGCCCCAGAAAAATGGGCCCTTTTATAATTTGTTTTCCAAAGAATCTTTTCAGAGCCCTCTTTATGCCTTTATTTCTCAGGCTGTAGATGAAGGGGTTCAGCATGGGTGTGACCACTGTGTACATCACTGAGGCTATTGCACTCAAGTGTGATGTCTGGGAAGCAGCAGAACTAAGGTACACTCCTAGGCCCGTACAGTAAAATAAGGAGACAACTGAGAGGTGAGATGCGCAAGTGGAAAATGCTTTATACTTGCCCTGAGCTGATGAGATCTCAAATATGGAGGAAATGATCTTAGAATAAGAGTAAAGGATCCCAGCAAGGGGACCACCACCCAGCAGCCCAGCTCCAAAATACATCACCATGTCATTAAGAAAGGTGTCAGAACAGGCAAGTTGGACCAACTGTTTAATTTCACAGAAAAAGTGGGGAATTTCCACCTCTGTACAGAAGGACAGCCGCAACACCACTGAGGTTTGTAACAAAGAATGCAGGACACTCATGATCCAAGATACCAAAACCAGCAGTCCACAGATCTGGGGATTCATGATGACTGTGTAGTGCAAGGGGTGACAGATGGCCAAAAATCGGTCATAGGCCATCATGGTCAAGATGTAGTTGTCCAATCCTGCAAAGAGTAGGAAAAAATACATTTGGGTGATGCAATCTGCATAGGTAATGACTTTTCTCTCTGTCTGTATATTCATCAGCATCTTGGGGATGGTGGTGGAGGTGAAACAAATGTCTACAAAGGACAGGTTGGCGAGGAAGAAATACATGGGTGTGTGGAGGTGGGAGTCAGAGCTGACAGCCAGGATGAGAAGCAGGTTTCCAAACACAGTGATCAGGTACATGGAGAGGAAAAACCCAAAGATGAGAGGCTGCAGTTCTGGTCCCTCTGAAAATCCCAGAAGAAGAAACTCTGAAACTTCTGTAAGGTTCCCTGGCTCCATGGGTGGGAGGTAACTATCAGGATATAGAAAAATAAATGACTAATTTCACACAAGCAAGTGTTAGTAACCTAGCATAAATGCTACCACTTGACCATATTTTAGAGTCAAGAAATTAATTTCAATATATGTGTGTGGTCTTGTCCCCATTAGGCCATCCCTTGCACCATTTCTCATCAGGAATTCTGTTTCCACCTCAGTTCTTTCCTCAAGTATATATATATATATACTTATGTATATATATATATGCTCTTGTTTTATTGAGAATATTTTTCATTCCTTTATGGAATATGTACTGAGTATAGACCATGTTCCAGGCACTGTATAGACAATATATACAGGGTGCTGATAAACAATGTCCTTATAATCCTATGATGTAGATTGTAAGCAAATACAAAAAACAATTAAATGTCAGATGATGAGAGGAGCTGTGAAGACAAGGAAAGCGAGCATAAAGGAGAGGATTAACAAGCTTTCATTTCTTTTTACTGGATGCTCACACAAGATCTGCAAAGAAGGTGAGGTGAATAAGACCTTGAGGGAGGTAGGGAAGGGGGTAGAATTTATGTTAGGAAGTGTGTGCCCAGCAGGGGTAATAGCCAGGGCCATTGTCCTGAGGAAGCTGCTTGATTCAGAAAACCAAGGCTCAAAAGAAAGCCAGGGTGTCAAGGGGAAGTAGCAAGAAGGAGTGTAATGAGAGGTGGTGGTAGTGTGTGTTGAGGAATGAAGCAGCCATCCACTATGGCTGAAAATTCAAGACACACGGAATCCCTCATTTTATTAGTTTTGCAGGACTTTCTTAATTTTGTTATAAAGATGTCCTGTGAGTTGAAATGGAAACCCCTGTTAGTAACTACTGTTGGTTGAGTTCTGGCTTCTGTCAGTTAGAGTCAGCCAAGAATATGTGAGCCCTGGTAACCTTGCTCTGAGGACTGCCATCAACACACACACACACACACACACACACACACACACACACACCATGACCCACTTATGGCCTCCTGTAATACTGACTGCCATGACTTTTCCAACCCCACCCACACTATATAGACCAGTAGTTGATACACATCAATCTGGCCAGATTTTGTTATCTTTTCCCTAAAGAATGCAGAAATGGTACCCAGAAATTCTTATGGGCAAATAAACTTGAGGATGCCTATCGGTATGCTCTTTTTATGCCTAATACCAACTTAAAGAAACATGGGCAATCTTCTCAGTAAAGACAGAGAGAAAAGAGAAGAATGACATGGACATGAGAGGGAAGACAGATCCAATAGTGCAGGTGGCCCCTGAGAAACTGACCAAGAGGAAGAAAAAGTGTCTTTGGTTCTGGTGACACTTCTGACCTCCTTAGATCCCCTTGATGCCCAGCAAAAGTAATAAGGAGAAAAAGCCAAAGTAGTGATATTTTCATGGTGTGAAACATATAGATGGAATGCTATGAGAGAAAAATGAGCAAAAGATATAAACTAACACTTAACAATAGGAAATATACAAAGTAGAACAGCAGGTGAACTATTTTAATATCATGGAGGAGAAGGATTGCTTTGCTCATGGCCAGTGCATATTTATTTGTCCAATTGCTGTTTATATGGCCTAGTGGGGAGGATGTGAAGCAAGCCACTTCCTAATTTATCTTATGTGACATCTTTTCTTTGTTATTCTTGTTCTTTGAGGTTTGATCTTTTTGACAAGTCTTGGTTCCAGTCTTTGCCCCAGATTCAGCTCTCTACCTCCTGCACTCGCCATGACAATCTATCCTCTTATGCAAGATTGCTTCTCTGTGTGATTTTTCCATAGAGACCTTACATGACATACATATTTATTTTATGCCACTCTGCCTTTGCCATTATGTGCAGTACCAAGTGAGCAGACATGTCATCTGCATTGTTCACTTTTGTTTTTTTCCCAAACTATGGGAGTATGTGTCTTAAGTGCTTTTATATAAACACACTTAAGAAAATGAGATGCTATAGAACAATAAGAATGGCAAAGAAGATAAACCTGTTAACTACAGTAATTTTACACAACTGTATTAAAACTAAAAGGAACGTCAAAAACAAACTGAACATGACATACCACACACTCAACAATATCAACATCAATTAGTAGTGAAGACCTTGACATAAGAGAATATATCATAAAATGTATCTAGAACTTTCTGGAACATACTGATTGTTCTGTAATTATTTGTTGAGTGAGTCAGGAATTAGGTCACAATAGACATGGATAGATGAGAAGGTTGTACTTCAATTAGAAAAGACTGGATTGTTGAATGAAAATGGGCACAAAGGGCTGTCTGGAAGGAAATGAGGTGGTTCCTTATCTTATTCACTCTTAAGGAAATCAGAGGGATTAAAGATACCAGTGTAAAAGTAAATAAAATATGGTAAATGAACATATAGAAAAGTGTACATAAAAATCTATAGGTGGGTAAAACCATCATTATTAAGGTGAAAAAAATCAGAAACAAAAAGGAAGACATATTTAGCTTTATCAACTTAACATTTTTTAAAGATCAATAATACCAAACCAAAAATCAGTTTATTTTTTTTTAATTTTTATTTATTTATGATAATCACACACAGAGAGAGAGACAGAGAGAGAGGCAGAGACACAGGCAGAGGGAGAAGCAGGCTCCATGCACCGGGAGCCCGACGTGGGATTCCATCCCGGGTCTCCAGGATCGGGCCCTGGGCCAAAGGCAGGCGCTAAACCGCTGCGCCACCCAGGGATCCCCCAAAAATCAGTTTAATAATAACAATTTTGTAAAAATAATTTGATATGTAGCTGTGAGAAATGGCATGAAATATATCGACAACAATAACGATAATAATGGACAAATGAATGGGGATCCAATATATGAATCTTTCTCAAGGTGGTGATAGTTAGAAAAAACAAGTAAGATTTCTTTCTCATGCCCATCAGCTAAGAAAGCCAATGAAGAGTTGCCATGTTGATTGGGGCTGGAACTTCTAATCTGTCAGTGAAAGGAGTACTCTGTAATTTTGTTGGCAGAAATAGGAAATGTGGAATGATGGGGAAACTATCTGAAGGCAGCTATAAATATTAAAAATACAGACACAACCTCCAGAAACAGATCCAATCACAAAAGTCCAAAAAACACTAAGGAATAACCAAGATGTGAAAACAAGGCATAAACATGTATAAAGGGTAATTTATCACTGCTAAGGATGAAGCAATTTCTTTTTCATGTATAGCAAAGACTGACACATGAAGAATATTAAAGTGTCTGCTCGACTCTTAGTAAGAAAAAGAAAATGGCAAAGCAACACATGAGACAGAATGTGCAGAGTGGTGATTACAGTGAATAATAGCATCACAGATTGGAAAGTCACCAAGAGAGTAGAGATTAAAAGATCTCATCATAAGGTCAGGACTTTGTGACAACGCATGGTGGCAAGTGTGGTGATCATTTTGTCATGTATACAAGTATGGAATCATTATGTTTTATATCCAAAACTAATAGGGATATTTTATGTCAATTGTACCACCACAACAAAAAATTCAGCAATTGAGAGAGAGCCCAATATCACTAATAGATTTGACCACACGAAATTCATAACCTTTCACAAATACATTTACACAGACATAAAAGAACTAAATGGCCAACAGTTTGTATAAAAACTCCAATTCTTTGTTATAATGGATCACAGTTTTATTTTATTTATTTTTAAAAAGATTTTATTTTCAAGCAATCTCTATACCCTGCATGAAGCTCAAACTCACAACCTTGAGATCTAGAGTTGCATGCCTCATTGACGGAGTCAGCCAGGCACCCCAATTATCAAATTTAAAAAACAAACAAACCATGGGGTGACTTGGTGACAGGCACTGAGAGGGGCACTTGATGGGAAGAGCACTGGGTATTATATTATATCTTGGCAAATCGAACTCCAATTAAAAATATACAAAAAAAAAGAGAAAAACACTCCACTGTTATAACACTATCCAAAAACAAAGGATATGCATAGAAAAAAATTTAAAAGAAGCTACCAAATGACCAACAAACCCACAAATACAGTCAGCCTCACAAGTTCTAAAATAATGCAAATTAAAGCTCATTAGCATACCCACTTTTATCTATTTCATATAGTTTTTTCATGTGAGTTCTCAGAATGAGAGAAGATAATGTGTGTATGTTTCACACATGCTATGGCAAGGATGTGTTTGCAATCATGGCTTGGTCTGGATCTTTCTCATCTATGTGGAAGCATAGTTTAAGATGCCCTGTCTTAAAATAAAAGGACATGTCCTCACTTCACTGTATCTCTCTCCACAGCTAATATCCTATTTGTGGTTCCTGTTAATGAGAAAAATCCTTGCACTCCTTTACTGGAAGCATATTATGCCTCCCCATTCCTTTTAACTAAGCTTCCATTAAAACGATCCAATTGTCAACATTGATACTGCACTTCTGATTGCAAGGTTTACTTTTCTTTTCAGCATCCTAAGTAAATACACTCATTTGCTGGTAAAGCCAGCAAACAACTGCAGTGATCTCTGCATTCTGGGCTATGATGAATGGATTCTCAGTGGCCTCAGGTACAAGTTCTTGCCTTCAGATCCCACTGATCCTCTCTTGCAGTGTCTGTTGGGCTATTGAACTCACCTGCATGGGAACTCAGAGAGCAAGTTTTCCCTTTGCAAGTCACAATTCCTCCCTGGATAGTTGATGATGGAGATTAAGCTCTGTCCCCGACAAGACAGCGGGAAGGTCTCATGCATTGGCTCCTAGCCAGACTTACGACTCCAAAAGCAACGATGATGTTCTGTCCAACCAAAATACACACTCTGAGGTTCTGTAGCAGAAGAGGTATTTACAGTTCCCCACGTTGCTCATTAAGCACATTTCTCCCTTGGCGCTCCAGCCTTTAAGTGCATGATTTCTCCTGGGTATACTAGTCTGGACAGAATGGAAATATTCCTGGCTGATTCTCTGTTCCTGGGAGACCCCATTGTACATCAGGTGAATTCCGTTTTCATACTTTTTCTCCATTAATTCTCCTATTTCCAGAGGTCTAAACTTCTCAGCACTTGACCACAACCTTGATTTAAAGTTATCTCTATGGCCAAGTTCAAAAAGGGTGTTGCCTGTGTTCTCCTCTAGGATTTGATGGAATCTTGTCTCACATTTAGATCTTTCCTCCATTTTGAGTTTATCTTTGTGTATGGTGCAAGAGAGTGGTCTAGTTTCATTCCTCTGCATGTGGATGTCCAATTTTCCCAGCACCATTTATTGAAGACACTGTCTTTTTTCCAGTGGGTAGTCTTTCCTCCTTTGTTGAATAGTAGTTGGCCATAAAGTTGAGGGTCTACTTCTGGATTCTCTATTCTGTTACATTGATCTATGTGTCTGTTTTTGTGCCAGGACCACACTGTCTTGATGACCACAGCTTTGTAGTACAACCTGAAATCTGGCATGGTGATGCCCCCAGCTATGGTTTTCTTTTTTAAAATTCCCCTGGCTATTTGGGGTGGTTTCTGATTCCACACAAATCTTAAAATAATTTGTTCCAACTTCCTGAAGAAAGTCCATGGTATTTTGATAGGGATTGCATTAAACATGTAAATTGCCTTCTTGCAAGATACATCCATTAAGACAAGAGAAGCAAAAGCAAAAATGAACTATTGGGACTTCATTAAGATAAGAAGCTTTTGCACAGCAAAGGATACAGTCAACAAAACTAAAAGACAACCTACAGAATGGGAGAAGATATTTGCAAATGACGTATCAGATAAAGGGCTAGTTTTCAAGATCTATAAAGAACTTATTAAACTCAACAGCAAAGAAACAAATAATCCAATCATGAAATGGGCAAAAGACATGAACAGAAATGTCACAGAGGAAGACATAGACATGGCCAACACGCACATGAGAAAATCACAATTGTCCTCTAAATGTGGAAGAGTGAGGAAGAAGAATAGAGTCAGACATATGAAGCTACTGTTGTGCTGGTTTTGCAGATTGAAGAAAGGCCACGAGCCAAGGAATGTGGGGGGCACTGGACATAGGAGCAAGAAAGGGGATGCTCTCTTCCAGAGCATGCAGAGGATCCTATAACTTTCAGAGAATTATTTGTTTTGAATTGGGAGTGTGTATATTTGTGATGAGAGTGAAAATAATCCAATACAGATATTTATCCAACAAGATATTGTTCACAGGAACTGGGTTTAAGCCTCTCAAAGCATTCAGTTAGCTTCTCTTTGGCCAAGACATTTTGTGTTGTAATCCCAAATTAAGGGGAGAAATTGGAGTTGATTTGGAGATATTCAGCCTATTCGATGGTACAGAAAATTTCCTAGTGCATAAATGTAAATATGGCTTTAGTTTTGAGGCCTTTGGAGCATTAGGATAGGAAAAGTAATTAATTCCTGAGTAATATTCCATTATATATATATATATATATATATATATATATATATACCACATCTTCATTATCCATTCGTCTTTTGATGGAAACCGAGGCTCCTTCCATAGTTTGAGTATTCTGGACATTGCTGCTATAAACATTGGGGTGCAGGTGTCTCAGCTTTTCACTGCATCTGTGTCTTTGGGGTAAATCCCCAGTAGTGCAATTGCTGGGTCATAGGGTAGCTCTGTTTTTACTCAGCCATTAGAAATGACGAGTACACATCATTTGCTTTGATGTGGATGGAACTGGAGGGTATTATGCTGAGTGAAGTAAGTTAATCCGAGGAGGACAATCATCATATGGTTTCACTCATATGAGGTATATAAAAAATAGTGAAATGGATTATAGGGGAAAGGAGAGAAAATGAGTGGGAAAAATCAGAGAGGGTGATAAACCATGAAAGACTCCTAACTCTGGGAAATGAACAAGGGGTAGTAGAAGCGGAGGTGAGCAGGCGGGTGGGGTGACTGGGTGACAGGCACTGAGAGGGGCACCTGATAGGATGAGCACTGTGTGTTATACTATATGTTGGCAAATCAAACTCCAATAAAAATATACAAAAAGGGGAAAGTAATTAGTTATTAAAATTAACTCACCCTAAATTTAAAAAAATGATTTATTAATTTGAGAGAGAGAGGGGATGGTTAGAGGGAGAGAGAAACTATTCAAGCAGACTCCTCACTGAGTCTGGAGACTGATTTGGAGGTTGATCCCATGACCCTGTGACCTGGGCTGAAACTTAGAGTTAGATGCTCAACTGATTGCACCATCCAGGTACCCTGCTGTAAAAAAATTTTTTTTTTATAGAAATCACTCATTCTACTTTAAATCTTCTTGTCAAAATTTCTACATTTTTTCTACTTCACATTTATGGAAACATTCCTTTTCATTTCGTTTTCTGCAACTTTCAACTTTTCTTTCAACAGGACAGATGGGATTATAATCCAGTGTGTGTATATGTGCACACATTTGTGTGAGCATATTTATTTGAAAGAAACATGTGCATGTGAACACACTCATGTACATACATACATTCCTCACTCTCAAATGTTTTCTTTGGACTAAAAAAAGTGTATCCAACATTTTATTTATTTCTCACAACATTCATTTCAAGTTCTACATTACCTTCGGTAATAAGGAAATGGATGTCCAGGTGAGTGATATTTTTAAAAATAACAGAAAAATATAAATAAAACTTCCTGGGTATTTTCTTAAAAATGGACCCATACAGTCTGTATGCATAATTCAACTATGGCACCTGTAATCCCCTTTGGAAAATTATACATTTCATATATGTGCAGTTTACTGTATGTAATTATGCTACAAAAATTAGTTAGAATTTAAAATTCTAATGGTTTATGACTCACATTGGATCAAAAGGACATGTAGCTGGGTCACACCTGACAGAGATGGGAGAAATGTCTTATCACTGGGAAAAGGCAAAGTGTGACATATGATATAGAAATAGCAAAATTAAATTAAGGTGATTTATATTTGGTAACTTATTTTTTCAATAAGCTGTAAGATTAACCTCCATATATAAAGGAAATAAATATCATCTGTTAGTTGAAGAAAGACATGAACTACAGCCCCACACAACGTCATGGGTGACCTTTAGGAACACAATGTAGGGACTGATAAGTAGTTCAGAATAGATCAGAACAACTCCCTACCAGACAATCTCATTCAATAATAAAGGTGTTATGTGAAGATACATGTTTTCAGAATAGCTGGTTATGCAGTCCTAGTGAACATATACAATTATAAAAGCAACCAGAACTGAGAGAAATTATAAAAATCTGCTTTTCCTTATTATAGGGAAAAGCATTTGTACTGAAATTGGGGACAGATTTCATGATTACTCTGCTATTGAAATTTATCAGACAGAGCAGAATATTAATAAAGTAAGTTAATTAAATGTATGGAGAAATTGAATTCAAACAAATGGAAATTCCAGGAAATAAATACAAGGAACTGATTCTACTTCCCGAGTCTGATCAAAGAATGACAGTTCCTGGCTCTAACCCTATGATCCCTGCAATCTTGGGCACATCTTCAGCCCCAGTATCACTGGAGCCCCAGTGATTCTTTTCAGAGCCATCTTTATGTCATTGTTCCTCAAGCTATAGATGAACGGGTTCAGCATGGGTGTGAACACTGTGTACATCACTGAGGCCACTGCACTTGAGTGGGAGCTCTGGGTAGCAGCAGAGCTAAGGTACACTCCTAGGCTAGTACAAAAAAATAAGGAGACAACTGAGAGATGAGATGCACAGGTGGAAAAAGCTTTATACTTGCCCTGAGCTGATGAGATTCTACAAATGGAGGAAACAATCTTAGAATACGAGTAAAGGATCCCAGTGAGGGGACCACCAGCCAGCAACATAGCTGCAAAATACATTACCACATTATTAAGAAAGGTGTCAGAACAGGCAAGTTGGACCATTTGATTGAGTTCACAGAAAAAGTGGGGGATTTCCACCTCTGTACAGAAGGACAGCCGCAACACCATTGAGGTTTGTAACAAGGAATGCAAGACACTCGTGGTCCAGGATACCAGAACCAGCAGTCCACAGAGCCTGGTGTTCATGATGGCCATGTAGTGTAGAGGTTGACAAATGGCCACAAACCTGTCATAAGCCATCACAGCCAGGAGATAGATGTCCAAACCTGAAAAGATTATGAAAAAATACATCTGTGTGATGCAGCTTGCATAGGTGATGACTTTGCTCTGACTCTGGATGTTCCACAGCATCTTCGGGACAGTGGTGGAGGTGAAACAGATGTCCACCAAGGATAGGTTGGCAAGGAAGAAGTACATGGGGGTGTGGAGATGGGATTCAGAGCTGATGGCCAGGATGATGAGCAGGTTTCCAAACACAGTGATCAGGTACATGGATAGGAAAAGCCCAAATATGAGGGGCTGCAGTTCTGGTTCCTCTGAAAATCCTAGAAGAAGGAATTCTGACATTCGTGTAGCATTGGCTGGTTTCATGTGGTTGCACTAACTCCCAGGGAAGAAGAAAAAGAAATTAATTATTACATGAAGTGCATTGCTCACATGGCTGAAATATGATAATTTCTATTTTACCATCAAGAAGTTAATTTCTGTATCTTGTATAGGGACTGTCTCCTTGAAGAGATTCCCCCCTCCGTTTTATCTCTGATTAGGCATTTGTTCTCTTTACCCACCTTCCCCCACAGAGGTCATACATGCTACTGCTTTATTAGAAATATCATTTGTACATTTGAGGAATATGTATTGAGGGTCAAACATTCTCCAGGCAATGTATAGGTGATGAGTTTGGGATCCTGAAAATCAAAAGCCAGTATAATCCAATGATGGAAAGAGAATGGAAACAAATAAAAATATTAATACATTAGCAGGTGTCAAGTGCTATGAAGAGAATTAGAGCAGGTATCAAGGAGAGGGTGGATATGAGTGTTATTTTGTAATTGGAGTTCAGGCAAGACCAGTAAACAAGGTGACCTTTGAACAGAGCCCCCATGGAAGAGAGGGCAGGAGCCGTGAACATGTCTGGGGAACTGTGTGCTGGCAGAGGGAATGGCCTCTGTAGAGGTCCTGAGGATTATACTACTTTGAGCTACTCAAATCCACAAAAGGAAGCAAGTGTGGGAAGGGGAATAAGCAGGAGAGTGATGACTGATGGTTTCAGGCAATTTTAAAGAAAGAGATCACTTTGCTGCTGGTCACTCACTCACATTACACACTTCTTGTATTTTATAATCTATTTGCAAAAAAGTCCTGGATTTTGAAATAGAGTCCCTCCTGAGTACCATCTGGTGATTGAGTTCTGGCCTATGTATTGTAAGAGTCATTTTGGAATATATTAGACTATGTACCCCTGCTCTGAAGACTGTTCTCACTCCACAAGGTACATGTATACATGCGCATGTGCTCTTGCATGCATGCATGTGTGCACACATACACTCCAGATCATTGGTCCCTGGGCTGTGTTCTTACCATGACTCCTCACTCCTAGCCTCCATGATGAAGCTGGAGTGGCAGTAACTCAGGCTGTTGGATTAGAGATCCATCCCCCAAATGTAAAATCCCCCAATGTAAAATGCTACCTGACATTCAAATTAGCAAGCTTCCAATGGACAGACATATTTACCTATATAAATTTAAAACTTTTTATGGACAATATAATCAACCAAAAGTCAATAAACAATAATCTGTCAACTGCATTTGAAATGCTGCTAGCAGGTGCCTGGGTGGCTCAGTGGGTTAAGCATCTGGCTTTGGCTCAGGTCATGATGCCAGGGTCCTGGGAATGAGCCCCAGTTTTGGCTCCCTACTCCATGCAGAGTCTCCTTGTCCCTCTCCTTCTACCCTTCCCTTTTGCTTGTACTCTCTCTTGCTCTCATGTGTGCTCTTTCTCTCAAATGAATAAATAAAACACTTTTTAAAAAAGGAATGCTGCTCGTTGCAGAATAGGCATAGAATTTATGGAATACAATAATCAGGGGCATCTAACAATGAACATGGTGACAAGTACATAAATATTTGCTCAAAGTTAGTGGTGGTTCAAGAAGACAACAAAATGAGGGGGAAATATGAGAGAGGGTGACAGAACATGAGAGACTCCTAACTCTGGGAAACGAAGGGGTATTGGAAGGGGATATGGGCGGGGGGATGGGTTGACTGGGTGGTGGGCACTGAGGGGGGCACTTGACAGGATGAGAACTGGGTGTTATACTTACTATATGTTGGCAAATTGAACTCCAATAAAAATATACAAAAAAAGAGAAGACAAAAAAATCTCATTATTTTGGTTATTAATTGATATAATTGGCTGCTTCCACATAAGGGGCATAAATATTCATAATTGTTAGTTCTTCTTGTTGGACAGACTCTTTAAGTGCGATACAGTGTTCCCTCTTCATCTCTTAAGTCTTTGGCTTAAAATCCAATATGAAGATTGCTACCCTGGCTTTCTTTAGAGGACCATTTGCATGGTAAATGGTTCTCCTCCCACTTCATTTTCAGTATGAAGGTGTCCTTAGTCTAAAATGAGTCTCTTGTAGACAGCATATAGATGGGTCTTGCTTTTTATCCAGTCCAATATCCTGTGTTTTTTATTGGATCATTTAGCCCATTCACGTTCAGAGTAACTATTGAAAGATATGGGTTTAGTGACATAGTATCATCTATACACTCCCTGTTTCTGCAGATTGTTTCCTAGGGATCCCTCTTTGCTTACAGGGTCCCCCTTAATATTTCTTACAGGTGGTCACATATTCTTTCAATTTCTGCCTATACTAGAAGCTCTTTATCTCTCCTTCCATTCTGAATGACAGCCTTGCTGAATATAGTATTTTTGGCTGCATGTTTTTCTCATTTAGTACCCTGAATATATCCTGCCAGCTCTTTCTGGCCTGACAGGTCTCTGTGGATAGGTCTGCTGTTAATCTGATATTTCTTCCATATAAATTAGCAGCTCTCTTGTCTTGAGCTGCTTTTAGGATTTTCTCTGTATCTCTGAAATTTGTAAGCGTCACTATTATATGTTGGGGTGTTGATTGGGTTTTGTCTATTTTGGGGGGTCTTCTCTACCTCTTGGATATGAATGCCTGTTTCCTTCTCCAGATTAGGAAAGTTCTCAGTCATCGTTTGTTCAAACATACTTTCTGGTCCTCTCTCTCCACATCCTCTGGAATCCCAATAAAATGAATATTATTCTTTCTCAAACTATCACTTAGTTCCTGCAGTCTCTCCTCATGGGATTTTAGTTGTTTTCCTCTCTTTTCCTCAGCTTCCTTTTTCCCCCAACAACTTGTATTCCATGTCATTCACTCTCTCCTCTGACTCATTAACCCTAGCTGTCAGAGCACCAAGTTTAGACTGCATCAGTTACAGTATTTCTAATTTAGGCCTGATTAGATCTCAATTCTGCAGTAAGAGAACCTCTAGACTCTTTTTTGCTTTGATCATGAGTCACCAGTAATTTTATAATTGTAATCCTGAATTCCATCTCTGACATATTACTTAAAGCCATATACATTAGATCTGTTGAAGAGAGTATTACTTCTGGTTCTTTCTTTTCTGGTGAATTCTTCCTTCTAGTCATTTTTTCCAGTGAAGTATTATTGTATGAGTGAGCAGAGTCAAAAATACCAACCATGAACTAAATAAAATACATCCTAGACAATTACGAAGAGGTCAGGGACCAAAAAATTAAAAAAAAGAAAGAAAGGAAAAGACCATAAAAGTGAAAAACAAATTAAAAAATAGTAAAAACTTTAAAGAAGTTAGGAGGAAGTGGTGGGGGAAAGAGAATATAGTCTCACAGAGTTGACCAAGATGGTGATCCTCCTGGTTCTGAGTGTATTTTGGTCTGTATACTAGAGGGTGATAAATTACAATTTATATGAACAAGCAAAACTTATATAGAGAAACAACACAACTGCAAAAACAAAAACAAGAAGACAAAAATCAGAGAGGGTGACAAAGCATGAGAGACTCCTAACTCTGGAAAATGAACAAGGGGTAGTGGAAGTGGAGTTGGGCAAGGGTATGGGGTGACTGAGTGATGAGCACTGAGGAGAGCACTTGATGGGATGAGCACTGGGTGCTACACTATATGTAGGCAAATCTAACTCCAATAAAAAAATAAAAAAACATATAAAGAGACCAAAAACAAAAACAAAACAATAAGAAAAAAGAAGGGGGCAGAATGGGAAGGAAGAGAGAATACAATTTCACAGTGTGGCCCAACACGACACTCCACTTGGTTCTGAGTGTATTTTGGTCCATATGTTAGAAGGTATGCTGAGTGAAATAAGTCAATCAGAGAAATACCATTATCACATGGTTTTACTCATATGTGGAATAGTGAAAGGGACAATAAGGGAAAGGAGGGAAATTGAATGGGGGAAATTTAGAGAGGAAGACAAACCATGAGAAACTCCTAACTCTGAGGGAAAAATGAAGGGTTCCAGAAGGGGAAGTGGGTGGGGGGACGGGATAAATGATTGATGGGCATTATGGAGGGCACATGATGAGATGAGCACTAGGTGTTATGGTGTCAAATTGAATTTAAATAAAATATAAAATAACAACACAGGGAAAAAAGAAATCTCTTACACACCCATCAGCTTATGGGATGGTATAAAGATCTCTCATGCTGATTGGGTTGGATGTTTAAACAGGTAGCAAAATAAATTTCTCTAATTTTGTTGGCAGAAATGTAAACTGCTACAATGTTGGGAAAACAACCTAAAGATAGGAATAAGTATGAAAATACACATATTCTTCAGTTCATGGATTCTCAATCTCAGTACTATTGACATTCTGGTCCAGTCTGTTCTCTGTAGTGGTGTGTGTCCTAGGCTCAGTAGCTATGTTTAGACCATCCCTGGCCTCTCCTGATAACTCTCATATGACTCCAAATTGTTCAGTGTCTCCTGGGGAACAAGATCTCCTCTGGTAGAGAACCAGATTTTTAACATAACAATCTCCAAATATTTTTGTAGGATTTTTATAATAGCAAGGTATTGAGAAAGAAAACACTTTCAAAGTGTGAGTGGCACAACCATATTGTGAAATATTATGCAGATGTTGAAATAAAGACTCAGAACTACCCTAGTTGACTGAGGGAGGTGCATGAGGTATTACTGAGTAAGAAGGAAGAATGGAAACAGGTAGAAAATAAGACTTCATCAGAGCTTAAAGAGCATTCATGATGAATACAGGATACTACTCATCTGTTTGTATGGTGTGTGAATGTGTATATGTGCATCATCTGTGTTGATTTGAAAAGCACTAAGAACATAAGGAAGAGAGATTGTCAGGATGAATGAAATTAGGTCAAGTATAGTGGTTTCAAAACAACTGTGTGAAATCAAAGTATATGAAAATCTAAAACTGATGTATATAAAGCCATAAAAGAATAATTGAGTGTTATCAAGATGGGTTGCTAATTCCTTATTTAATGACCAAAGACTTGGAATAAAGGAACATGAGAGAAT